AAAGCTACAAAATATATGGTACTGCCCAGTTTCTAGATCTTACATATTTCTCTAATTTCACTGATAAATGATAAATGGAGGGCTTTACATGCAACATATAATACCATATCTGCAAGTTAAGGTATCCAATTCCATATATAAGGTGAGCCAAAAGTCAATGGGCATACGTTGGCCTTAATAGCTCAGTCACGGAGTGAACAATTGAAATAATTCTTTCTGGTACGACTTACTACCACTACTACCAGTACCACTGGGTCGAGGAATTTGTCAAATCGAAAAATATTCGAGTTCATTTTTTTCAAATGAAGGTTTATTTTTGCATTTATTTGATAGTTTGGATAGTCGGATCGAGCTACATTTTATTGAATTGTGTTTGGCCATTCGAATTACGTATGTCCTGAAAAAATAGAGTTTGAGCTCCTCAGATGGCCGAGATACGAAGCATAACGAGTTCATTCATTACGTGTAATCAGGTGATTGGCTTACAGTTACCTGATCACGTGATAAGGTCACCCCGTTAACCAACCCATTAAACATTATGGGAATCGTTAAGGCTGCCCAATTAAGGTGTCGTGTCACGGTGTCACGGTGTCACATAATCACCCAGTCAATTTTGTTAACGAGATATTTATTATTATTTGGGTGATCCTACCGGAATCCTATAGAATTAGACTGATGAAGGAAGATTTCTTACGAAATAAAATATCTGATCAGAGTTGATTCATGTTATTTTGAAACTTGCAGTAAAAACGACGTCAACACCAAATTAGCTGACTCTGCCGAACTAGAGTAGGCTACCTACCTGGACTCTAGCTTGACACATACCGAAGTTCGACAGGAGTGATTTGAAGCGAACATAAATTTTCGAACTAGAGTAAGTGTCAAACTAGAGTACGTGTCGAACTAAAGTACGTGTCGAATAACACAATAAGGGACACTGTTTTTTATTGTGCTATATATAACACTATGAGAGCAGCAATGTTAACATTTTGTAAGGAACAGTTCCCAGTTCTACTATATATATATATATTATATATACCTTATCGGAACTTTATTAATGTCCGTTCAAATAAGGTCCGATACGGTAGTTGTTGTGCAGGTCAAGTATTTACCTATGTATTCTTGATGACGACATAAGATGAAACTTTATAGAATATGTATTTTCATTGAACATACCATAGTATCGTGATCAAAGATGGTCGTGCCGGGGCGTACCTTAAAAGTATAAAGATAAATGACTACTTAGCTAGTAAAATGTTCGCCTCACTCGAATAATCTTTTGTTTATAAGGTCCTCACTCCTCCCATCTGTTTTAAGAACACTGTGTTGAATGAAGAATGAAGATACATACTGGACTCCATTAAAGCAACAGTTGCATTTATCAGCTGTGCCCAACACTACTGCGTACACAATATTGTGGTATTTCAACACATAGAAATCAAAATGAAAAGAAGTATTTACCATACAGCTGACACATTTTTCAATGAAACAATTCCAAAGTATTTGATTTGGGTGAGATGTGCAGTAACTTCTAACGCGCTTTCAGCTCGTGCACAGGATATATTGGATCTTGAATCAGAATTAATATCACAAAGGGATACGATCATAACAGCTGGATGATGATAAGCAGCTAGAACGCGTTTTATCATATTTATTATATTATCCTGATGTAACGTTCGACGGGCATACCCTTTTCAGATAGGACTTAATGTTAAATATAAATATCAACGTCTCTCCAACACAGAACACTTGATTCAACTTCAGAGCGCTCATACAAATTAAATTAAATTAAATCATACAAAAAAAATGAAATACCAACTAAGTGGCACCAGCTGATAAGAAAAAGAGCTAAAGAAATGTTATAATAACTGCCAAGACACAGCCCTTAAACTGTAAACAAATAACGAGTCTGAATTGAAAACAAAATGAAAACGAATTTCACAGATTACCTGAAAGTTTCGTAAAATTTTGTCGATTACAGTGGGTGTGGCATGCCACTCTTTTTCATTATTTTCAAGATAAAATAAGAACGCTTTGAGCTAGGAATTCAAATTTTCTTGATTTCTTTCATTGGATAATTGCAACTAAACCTTTTGTCGAAGTTTTAGGTTAAATGTTTGAAATTTTGCTGATATGAGTTGTGACCATTTAAAAATCTGGCGAGAACGTCATATCCTCTCAATCAGGGAATCTCATTGGAAGCTAGTCGCTTACGTGCAACAATAACCTATTGTTGGTAGAGCCTAATTAGGCTTATTGAATAAGCCTGACTAGGCTCTACCAAGCAATAGCATGTTAAAGTGATTAATATCATCTACGTAAATAACAGGGCTAATAATACCAGAAATAAGGCGAAACCACAATCGTCAGCAATTTGTGTTAGTACTTCGGGTGCAGTCAAATGAATGGATGAGCTTCTAAGCAGTCTGAAACCGATCAGGCAGTGCATGTGAGCTGGACAAGCCAATGATGAAGTGATAAGATCACGTCCCCGGCAGATTTTCAAATGGTCATAGCTCAGCCAAATTTCAAACATCCAACTTTATATTTTGGCACAAGCATCAAGGAAAAAAGTTTAAAAGCGTTCTTATGTTATGCTGAAAATAGTGAAAAAGAGGGTGTGGCATGCCACATTCACTGTAATAGGAAATTTAAGTTTGACCCATGTCCGTAATCCCTGAAATTTGTGTGCAAATTCTGAAACGAATTACGCGAATTATTTTAAGGGCTGGGTGCGTGCAGTTACTACCGTGATTTACGTACACACGTACACAGAACAAAAGTTATGATAAAACACCACGTACAGGAACAAATTTGATCACACTGTACGCTGTTTGTGTACGTTGCTTCTGTCTACACAAAACACAAGATTTCATGTCGGAATTCGTTTTGATCTGGATGCTGAAGTGGGTACAAAATCAATACAATGATATCATTATATTAAGGGCAGATGGGGTCATGAAGTGCTACAAAGAAAAAGTATGGAGTTATGCTAACTTTCTTGGGAAAAAGCAATATCGCTATTTAGTGAGTATAATTCAGTTAACTTTTGATTTTTGGATATAAGGCGGAAGACTACCGGTACTAGCACATATATATTCGAGTTTAACGAATTGAAGTATACTATAATATGGCCTCCTATCAAGGTACTCAAACCAGCAATTTTGCCTTTTCTCCTGAAAACTAAGATATCACGAACTTAGCCCAATTAGTTAAACCCTCACAAATTACTTTTCTTCGTTAACAAGGTGTGCTGGTTCCGGTTATTTTACAACTTTCCGAAAGTATAATATATGGCCTCCTATAAAGTAAGCTAAATCGGGTACTTAAAGCTGGAAATTTTGCCTTTTAAAAAGAAAACTAAGATATCACGAACCAAAAACCATTCCCAATGATGAACTTCGAAGTTACTATAACTTATATATAATGACCTAGTATTATACTCAAATCCTTAAACCATTTAAAAATATCAATTATAAGCTGGAACAAAATATTACTAAGATACTGTATTACTCCTCCATGCTTGGAGGGGGGGGGGGCATGTGGTTTTTGTCTCATAACTCAGTCATTTTTGTCCAATCTAGATGAAAATTCATATACAAGTTCAGGGGACCACCAGCTACAAGTTCAGCACCTAAAATCTGGGTTTTGAGCATGTTAAGGTGATTTGGAATAATTCGGACTAAAAATGGGCGTGGCTGTCCCACGGGTGACCGGAGTCCAAAACCCCTTCAAAAGTTCGGTCAGAGGCCCTAGTTTGTTGGTCAATTGCCATCTCAAATTTCACAACAAAATCATGGTGAACCCCCCCCACCCCCCTTCAGATATTTTTATTTTCCCTGACTGAAAACTCCTTGGACATGTATATATTTGCAGCCTCCGTTATTCAACTAAGAACAGTATTTTCGTATGTACTGGAATGGTATTGTCGCAACCTGAAGGATGATATAGAAAAATAATGGTTGCAGAGTTGATAAAATCATTACAAGCTGGAGAAAGTTAAATTAAAGTAAGACCACTTAAGTAGCAGCTTGGGTAATTTCCTCCACCTTTTGAGTTGGGATTATTGCACCGCAGCTCTATTTTAAAATATTGACTCAATTACACGCTAAGCTTCTTGGCTCTTGCCATCTAATCCGAGGTCTGACAAAACAAGAACGTGACAGAATAAGTTGACCACATGGACTGGACGACGTAGAACGTAACTAATGCCACATTTTCATCGATCAGAGAATCCTGTTAAATTTCTGGCTAGAAAAATGGTGAAATCGTACCATGCTACCGATGATAATCATAAAACATTTGCGCGCGAAATTCTGATGAAAATAAACGCGCACAGCGCGCGCCACTCTACTCACATACGAAGACAAAATCCGCTAGTTGTGAATGATATGTGGAAGCTGACAGCCAAACGAAAAGTTGAGAGAACTGCTGTTTTATTTGTTAAATAAGATTAAAAAAGGAAAAATATTATTAGCGTGTACCCTTTTAAACTTTGGTTGGGAGGAAATTATTTGCAAGCTAATTACAAAGTAGGCCATGAGTTAAAGATAATGAATGATATGAATTGAATAAGTATGAACTTACAAGTTGTTTGCAATATCAGGAATATGGATTATGGGGACACTGGACAACAATTAACTCTATGTAAATTTTGAAGGTTACTATGATCAGTTGAAATATCAAAAAAGTCGAGACTTATAAGTCAGTAATAAGGAATAAAGATGGGTTTGTTTGCTATTTATTACCAGTGTAAGACTTCAACCGAGGTACTTTCTTCTTTGAGTTCAGCAGAATTAACCATACCTAAAATTAGAAGATTCTGTTAAAAGTGAGTAATGGGAATAACTTGTTAACCAAGAGTAAATCAGGTTGGGATTATGGCATACAATTAATTGATGAATTATACGGTAAATTTCAATGATATTTTTGATGCTCTCCCGGAAAAATAAGGGTAAAGGAGTTATTTCAATCTTTTTGAGTCAATTATGAGCTATTCTATCGAATAAATTGGGGAGAAGCAAACTTTATTTAAAAATAACAGCAAAATGTTATTCAATACACAATATCAAGAATACTTGAACTGCAATTCATGAAATATGCATTTTGACTTACTATTCGCACCTTAACCCTTAGTTAATAATAATTACAATAATTATATTATTATTGGTGAATCCAGTGACTGAGCCAGGCACGGATTCTGGGCCAATGTGAAAATTCGGTGAATCTGTCTAATGTAAACGCTATGAATAACGGGCCAGGCAAAACGTACACAAGATTTATGGAATTGTGCAATGTAAAATTATAAATAATTTGATCATAATCACAGAGAGCTGGGCACGGATTGTAAGATTGTAGAGAGAACACCGTTCAATTTAATTTAGCGCAATCTTGGGCCTTTTTAATACTTAATAGCAGTAATCTTCAAAAATGGCGTAAAGACCGCCTCATTATAAACTAAATACATACAAGCATATCATATAATAGGATTTCAAATACGATTAAAAACTGTAGAGAAAAGGCATCAACAGTGTTTAAAGTTTCGACTGAATTAAACCGTTATCAACTAGAAGGTTATCAACTAAAACTTTAATAAAACTTGAACTTAGAATTAAACCTTGATATATATAATAACTTAGACAAGGCGTTATATATTATTAAAAACTTCTAGAAGTAGAAAATATTTCTTCTGATCAACCATTGAATAGTGAATGCTATCATACAGATAAGTTAAAAACGCTGGAAAACGAAAAAACCATTTAATCAGATCGAAGAATAAACTGTAAATTCTGTGAAACATGTCTGTGTATTTCATATCGTATTTTATGCACAGTTGGGACAATTATAAATAGAAGGAAAGTTAAATTATCTAATGCGGTTTAAAAACATTTTGATGTTTCAAAGTGCCAATAAAAACCAGAGCTACTTGATTTTCATGAGAGATATTTTCGATTTTCTTACCTTCAATACCTAGGCAAACCAAAAAGCGTGGTTAATTAACAATTAACTAATCCTAATAATATGCAAATTCTCACCATATCAGATACTTTAATATATTATAGATATTAAAATGGAAGTGCGAATTAGAAGGATTGTGGCTTGATTGTATTGACACGTGACAGAAATTAGAAGGGCTCATCCGTTAACGCTGTAAGTTTCACAACTCACATGGCAAATCAAACTCGCGCCAGCTGTCCAAGATCCCAACAATACCCACATCCATTCAAGATATAACATCAATTACCAATCAATTACCAATTCAAGATCAATTACCAAAACATGAGTCTACTTTATATTAGGTGTTACAACCTAAAGCTAAGTTGAAGCATCCAAATTCCAGAAATCGAAGAGTTAAATGTTGTTATACCCATCTAGAACATCATAACATCACGGTCCAAATCCAAATCTGACAGTGTACTTAGACCCCCACTGTAGCGGTCCCTAGAGTTAGAGCTCTGAAATGGAGGTAATTTTAACGAACATTTAATATAAACGGTTATCAGTGATGGTTATCAAGTCACCGAAAGCAACACTTTCATTAAACAAAACATATATTATATTTAATTATAAAATAAATGCAACAGATTACAGATTTACGAGTTCGAGCCTGTCAAAAGCTTATTTGATTTTCGAAAATAATCCTATAATTTTCTCAGACTTCTATAGATAATAAATTGCTGCATCTTATCTGACAAAAATGAGGCAAAACGGATTTAAAATGACAAAGTTATCAAGCATTTTTACTTTTGTGTATCTCGTCAACAAAATTGACAGGGTGATTATGTGACAGGGACACCATAATTGGGCTCCCTTATAATTTTCACGACACTTCGTGAATCATGGTATCTTCAACACTTGTCCAAAAGCAAAGCAACCCTAAGATAAGCCCACAAATGTGTTGCGGAGCACACGAGTAAAGTCTCACGAATCACTCAGGACACAGGATCGTATGCTATTATGCTATACATTTTTCTCGGTTTTTTGAATTGTGTATTCATATTTTGAGTAAACATTGTCTGGTCCCCGATCGTTTCTAATAAGTTCTGATAAAAAGCCAGTAAAACCGACTGGCCCTGGGGGCGGGGCCCCTAACAGAGTTATATTCGTTATTAGTGGGCCACCTTCAGCAATAAACCATGAACTCACATTGAAGTTGAACTAATCTTACATATTGAATTGGTTCGTGACCCAGGAATAAAGCAAAGGTCGCCGGTCGGTGTTATCAATCTGCTTTTAAGGTGTTCTTAATGACATTATTTTTGGACGCCCGCCAAACACGAACTTCGTCAAGCAGTCTTCCTCCTTCATTTTAATGATTATACAGGAAGCTGTTCATGTATTATGCCACTCTCCCACATTCAGAAAGACGGCAGATAATCTGAGAGGAAATTTTAGATTTTGGAGGAAATTTGACCTTTTTTAAGACAATGTTTAGGGGAGAAACATTGATCACTCTCTCATTCAATTGGTGGTAGTTTGCAATAGTAGCTCACGTGACGTCACTACGTCAAAATATTAAGTTCGTTAAAATTTCCTACCAAAAGTAAGCATGACAAAATACTTTGCAATAACCAAAGTTACTAAAGTAAACGACCAGTTTTAATTGGTCCGGTATTTTAAACGACCCGAAACTTACAATACCGGAAAGAGTTGGTCGGGGATTTGATATGATTAGAATAAAATTGGCCTTTGAATGCCCTTAATTAACAAGATATTTAAATGGCTTACTGCCTTGATAGGTTGGAGTGTAGACTGTAATTAAACACTAGTGTAAACTTAAGTTTGTTTAAATACCATTCCTTGACACAATTCTAATATGAGTATTGAGTACCCATATTGAGACATCTCGTGAGGTGCCAACAAATAACAATTACATTTGAATTCTATTAAGCTATTAGAATATTCCATGAATTGGATAATATTATGTAATTAAAATTAATTCATTGACAGAAATGTGTACTTTACAATTTCATTTCTGATGTACCAACTGTCGCGGTTTATTTTGACAGGGTGATAAATTAAATTGATAATTGATAATCCTACAATAATTATAATACTAGGCAGTTATGAATTATCCGAAAAATAAAATAGACCGGAACTAGATTGGTCCGGATATTACCAGGTCTTGAGTTGAAATGAAATAGAAAAGAATCAAATTTTACTCAGCTGAGCACGATTGAGACCTAATTAATAATTTGTTTAATTCAAGCTAAGTTTTCCACAATAAAAGACAATACTAATTTGCATTTCTTACCAACAGAAGTTCGTTCTGTCGACTCTGAATGTTCTGTAGTTGTACGAGTTGTTTCTGAAGGAGCTGCTGGTTCTGGGCTAGGAGCTGTAGTTGCCTAACTTGAGTGTTTTGATCCTGAGAATAAAAGATTTCCGGTGAGTTTTGTAATGATTACCGTTCAGGTTAACTAAATCAAAATTATCATAAAGAGAACGCTGAACTATCCCTGTCAAAGCTTTAAACAAGGTTTATAAAATTACAAATAAGAATAACCTGGAGCATTGTGGTAGTACCACGTTGGTTCCCCCCATTGTTGCTATTATTGTTGTTACCATTATTGTTATTATTGTTGTTTCTAACTTGGCTCTGTTGGCGACCACCTCTAAATGATTTGCCCTGAAAGTAAGATTAATGTAAGGACTCTGTAAAAAGTTTTTCTTCCTGATAATATGAACACCCTCGATTAATCTGCAACCTTTTACGATTTTCACAACTAAAGATATTCAACAAACAAGAAAGGTGGTTAAAAGTGGTAAAGTGGCCTTAAGACACGTGAAAAAGTTTGAAAAAGTTGGTCAGCCATAAAGGGCACCTAATGGGACTCAAAAACGTCAAAAATCAGACGGATCTGTCTGTACTGAAACAAGTTAAAACAAGTTAATGACTTACTCTACTTCTGAAGCTTTTGCCTCTGGTGCTGTTATTATAATTTCTCTGTTGATTATTTATGTTTGTGTCGTTGTTGTTGTTGTTGTTGTTGTTACGTTTGAAATTGTTCCCACCACGATTGTTGTTTAGCCTGAGCAGAAAATAACTTAAATTGCAAATAAAGTGAAAACTTTTTTGTTTCTAAGAGCTATGATGCATAAATAGCTTTCATAAATTTTTTTGAAAACGATATATACTATAATATACTTTATTATACAAAATAGTATTATAACTGAAATACACTAATTTATTTTCGACACATTGGCAGAAGGAAGTGTTACCTCTTCACTGGAGAAGTGTTGCTGTAATTGGAAGTGGATCTGTTGACTCCTCTACCTCTACCACCACGACCTGAATAGATTTATCTGATTTAAGTTAGCTGTTAGCTAGATGTTGAACATCACTTCGTGATTATTTATTTATCTTTAAAGGATGAGGGGACCTTAGAAAAAGTTTTTTTCTCGTGCAAATCCTTTTATTACATTAATCGTATAAACCACTTTAGTGAAATCCGCAAAGTTGTATTTCATTCGCGCGCCGAGATATCCAGCCAAAACAATTTGAACCTGTGACGTCAATTATGTGAGTTGCTCTGATCCGCGCATATAGAAATACAGGTAAAATGAGCGTGCGGGCCGACTAAATTACTAATTAAGAATAAATTAACAATTTACGATACTAACGAGCCTATAACCAATGGAGAGGAGACTTTTTATGACCGGTTGAAAAAAGAATTATCACCCTACGATAACCGTGAGCCGAGATACACCTGGAATAAGATTGAAGTCACACCGAAAGGCATGTAAATTATGTATATTTATAGCTCCCAACGTAACACCTAGCAACTCCCTGTTTCGTACCACAGTTGATATATCAACATGTCATATCAACACAACACGGTCCTAATAAAAATGGATCGGGTAGGTATGAAATGCATGTCTTCATTCCAGTTGGACATGCACCAAGCACCAAGCTTTTAAGTTCTAACTCACTATGTGACACTACTTATAACGTAAGCAAGATTTGCAACTATTACACCAAGCAATATTATACCAAGCATAGCAGACGAACACATCCACATTCGTTACGCTTTACACTCAAGTCACAGCAAACTAAAACGGTAAATTATAAATGAGTGTACAACTAAAGGCCGGTACACGCACAGTGTCAAACCGCACGTGCGTACTCAGATAGGACTAGAGGCGCCAAGGGCCAGCTAGTAAAATGTCTTCTACTACATCATACATTCTTTTTAATTGTGTCCATATCGGGTTTCAAACAAGTCAAAACAAAATAGCAGTTTGTGGTTTAGTTAGCGGATGCTACTTATCTTAGCTATTTATAAATAGAAATACCTACTACAACTACAAGAAAGCCTTTCTGAGTTACATTTAACTATTATTATTAAAGAAAATTATTCGTAACTTAGACTAATTCAGTACAACCAAAGATACCGCTCTCGCAAACGCCAAAGGTAACACGATGTAATTAGAACAGAACAGAACAAAATGTTGACACGAGCGAAGTGTGCGCGCGCACGTTGGTCTTAACACATAAGTGACGTCACAGCCCAAAATTGCTATCAGCCAATAGGAGCGCGGCGTGATATTGCACGAATTATCGATTTCACAGTCCGGCGTATTTTTTGATTCTACACACTTTCACAGGACTTAAACGCGAATATTTGGAAGTAAATTCTAAGGTCCCCTCATCCTTTAAAAAGCTTAAAAGCAAACTGCAGAGATAATGGTTCTGTATGTATTTCCCTTAGAACCCAATGTGTTCAACAGTTCATTAAAATTTCTGAGGTGCTATAATATGTTGTATTTACTAGATCTGACATAATCGGCCTTTAAGAAAGTTCCAGTATTTACCTCCACGTGACCTGATACCTCTTCCCCTGGTATAACTGTTATTCTTGACATAGCTGTTTGATCCATCAGCAGTGTTATCTTTCAGACCAGAGTTAGGCTTTCCTCTGCCACGGCTGGCACCTAGCAGTATACTGTGTGATTAGTGCACCTGTATAAGGAGATGTTCAGCTGCAGGCTGAATATTGGGAAAATACTACAGCAGATCGTTACGAGGAGCAACAAGGGAAGGAGCTTATTAAGTTGGTAACCAAATGCTGAAGAAGTAGACTTAGCACAAATAAGATTCATGTATATCAAACTCTTGAAGGTATCGAAAAAACCAACCTCGACCCCTTCCGGTTCCTCGTCCTCGTCCTCTCTTGAGACTCTTGTCAACTTTGATTATGTCATCTGGAGATGACCAAAGAAATACAGAGAAGGTATCAAATATTTAAAATAGCATTGGAATTTAACTTAATTCACGATGTCATCCACAATTTAAATTTTAAAAATGCATTTAATCAGTGACAACAGAAAACAGAAACTTACCAAGAGCCATGTTTATTCTGTCGTTTCCACCCATTGTTGGGATCTAACACCCTATAACAAGGTGACGTAGTCAGATAATTGATCACATTAATTAGGCAGCAAATTCATGACAGTCGAATTCTGTATTCTGTATAATGTAAACTTTGCAAAATAAGTTGAATAATGAAATGAGACATAAAACAAAAAGATCTCAAACAAAACTGGAGACTTGAAGACGGATCTATACTATAAATTAAGAGGCCATACAAACTCGCCTTGAGTCATTAAAAACGTTGTTTATACATGATTAACAGATTTCGAAATGTCATAGATTAATGGCCAGGTAGCGCAGTTGGTTAAAACGCCATCTTTGCAAATCGTGCGGTTGCAAGTTCGAATCCCACTGTCTGCCTGGTCGTGGGGTGAGTGTCATTGACGTTAAGCTAAGGATCCTGAGTGGTCTATGCAGCCCACTGGTATACTCAGCCGAATACTCGAGAAATCGGGCGTGAGGGTTAAATGAGGAGCTGCACATGGCAGCAAAGTCTCGGGTGAAGAAAGTATGGTACACACTACTGGCCAAATAAATCTTTTGGCTTCCTGTAATTGGCTGGTTGCACTTGTGTAACAACAAATAAGTGTCTTGATAAAAAATGACTGGACCATTGTTAGCCCTAAGCGTTTTGATCCCTCATTCCTGCCCCTATCAAGATTCCTGAGAAAGTGCGATAAGACTGGATTTTGGGCATCTGAAAGTTCAATTGTCACGTGTCAATCAGGATCGATTTCAACCGATTCCTCTCTAGAAAGGCAGTAAGTCCATTTTTCCTCAGATAAAGTCAACACAGAAAATACAACATTTGAACTATATTTTTGATCATATGCATATCTTTGCATACTATAATTATGTGGGCCTCCTGTGCATTGCAAGTACAGGGTGGGCCAAAAGTCAGTACCCATACGTTGGCCTTAATAGATCAGTCACTGAGTGCCCAATTGAAATAATTCTTTCTGTTATAACTTACTACCACCACTGGTTCGAGGAATTTGTCAAATCGAAAAATATTCGTGTTCATTTTTTAAAATTAAGGTTCATTTTCGCATTTATTTGATAGTTTGGATAGTCGGATCAAGCCAAATTTTATTGAAATGTGTTTGGCAATTCGAATTACGTTTGTCCTAAAAAATGAGAGATGTAGCTTCTCAGATCACCGAGATACGAAGCATAACGAGTTTATTCATTACATGTTATCAGGTGATTGATTACCTAATCACGTGATAAGGTGACCCCGTTATCCAGCCCGTTAAACATTGTGGGAATCATTAAGGCTGCCAAATTAAGATGTCGTGTCACATAATCACCCAGTCAATTTTGTTAACGAGATACACAAAATGCATGATAACTTCGACATTTCAAATCCGTTTCACATAATTTTTTCAGATCAGATGCAACATTAAATAATCTACCGTCTCTGAAAAAATTAGGCGTCCAGCATGTTCAGTAAGAACAATTGCAATATAGGTGTTTCAATATTGAATGGGCGCGTTTAAAATATTCGAATTATCAAATTTTGGGGACGGAATCCTCGAATAAGCAGAGGCAGCCCGTGGGAAGTGACTGGCAGTTTTGTTGGGTGTCCAATCGACGGACTGGGGAGGGGTTACCTGAGGACCCCAGGCTATTATGTTCCAAATAAAGATTCGGCGGAATGACAGGCTGAGCGCCGCCCAGTAAGGGAGGGGAGGGGGTAGGGGGACTTGGGGCTGGCCCAAGCTCCCTCCAAACTACCGATTGCATTACACACAGGGCCTCATGAATGTAATGTGTCACACTTCACAGGCGACAGCAAACAATAACAACAACTTATAATCTGGGTGAAACAAGACACCACAAGTCTAGGTAAACTATAGGTAAAAATATAATATTAATCATAAGCTAAAATGTACTAATCTTTGTATTCTAAATGGGGAAAAGAAGAAACATTGTCAGTCAGTCGAGAAAATTGTCAGTCAGGCTATATGGCAGCTTTGTAGATGTTGTGACAATGCTAGCAGTGGTCCCAGGCTTGCGACTGGAATTGCGGTGTTAAATCGATTTAACGGTATACCAACGATCCACCTCCCACTTGTTGTTTGGTACTTAGCATTAATGGTGTTAGCTGTAGCCATTTATAGCAAGAATCTTAAAACTAAAGGGGATGACAAGGAAAAGAGGAAGGAAAAAGAATAACGGAACAAACAATTAATTAAAGTATTTACAGGAGCATAAGTTATTGTAATTACAAGCTTCAATAATAAATCACTGACTAAAACATCTAATTAAAATGACACTTGGTACGCCCATTTATAGTTAAACGTTATATATCGTAGAAGGGCATGATTTACTCACATCACTAAGCATCTGGATGGATAATTAGCACACAAGGATAAACTGACCTTTAAACATGACCACCAGCTATACCACGTAAGCATAGCTCCGAAATAAATAAATTGCTCTACATAGAAACATCTGGCCTGATCCTATCACATTGTGGTCCCCAGGGGTTCGGTAAAGCCCTTACAGGCAACTGGGTCCTTTTACCAGCCACAATAAAATTGGTCATGCCAGTACTGTCATAAACTGTAACCAACTATTTAAAAATTAGATATCTTTTGCTAAATTTTAAATTTTAAGTCATAGAGCAATCTTCTTAATTTTAAAATTTTTAAGAATAATATTTTACCCTAACTATGATGAGGTGGCATTTCATACTTAACTAAATTTCAACTTTGAAAGTAAATAGATTATTAGTGACAAAATTATAGTTTAAGACATCCATTCTGCATTGTGTTTCCAATATTAGAATTTATGATTTGTATTGATTGAATAATTGGTAATAAATTTAACTTTTGTTTTATTAACTTTTGTTTTATTTTCACTGGTCAGTCTGAACTTCGGTTTAGCACGTTGTACACTTATTCACCTAAGTTTCAGAATTTTTTCAGTTTAGCAGAGTTAGTACCCGTGTTTCAATAAAATCAAAAGATATCAGGGGAGTTCTTTAATAATGTTATGGTCATCTAGAATACCGAACTTCCTGAAAACGTTATTATATTTCCTCAGACAACGTTTAATACCTTTAACCAGTCTATCACGGCTATATCCTCTATCAATTAGAATTTTGAATATCTTGTGAAGATGGCAGACCGTAAAGATATCCAATCTAGTGCAAACATTACCGTATCTAAGAACTTGACTTGAAAAAACGTTGTAGCCAACCTCGGTTGGGATGTTACTGTGTAGTGAGGAAATGTAAGGGATACAACATGAAAATTAAAATCATCAGTTTTGTTATACACTGATATTTCTAGTCCTTCTGTGGAAATATTAATATTTAAATCAAGGTAGTTAATGATTTTATTATTGGAACCAGCTCGCTCCATCTCCAATGCATTAGGATAAATATCTTTAATCAATTTATGAAAGTAAAGGTAGTTAATAATAGATAAATCGTCAACATATCGTTTATTATTGGATAATATCTTTGCTAATCCCATTTTCTTTTCCTGAAGTAAACGTTTCATATAATTATGAGAAAATATAAACGAGTTTTTGGGGCCAAAACTGACAACTTCATCTGCAACCTCAAAGACTGTGACTTGCTGGTCACATCTGAAAAAGATAAGGAAGAGCTGTTATTTAATACTTTCTTCACAGGAAAACACCTTCAAAACCAACCCAATGACCAAGAGCACGAAATGCATGTAAATAATGAGTTCAGTAAATTAAAGAATGTTAGCAGCAAATCTGCAAGTAGTTACAGTGAAGATGATCCGCTGAACAACCATATTTCCATAGACGAGATAAAATCAGCTATAGAAAGGCAAGAAACAAATGACAAATCATGTGATGCAGACAATATTCACCCCACCATCCTCAAACACATAAAAACAAATTGTCTTCACGTCTTGCAGATCATATTTAACTGGTGTATGAGCACAGGAAAATGGCTGTGGAAATCTTCCGATGTAACATTCTTGAGGAAAGAAGGAAAATCCAGCTACATGTTACCTGGTGCTTATAGACCGATTTCCATATCATCCTACTTTGGAAAGATTTGTGAAAGAGTGCTAGACAAAAGATTGAGACTCTTCCTGGACATCGAAGGAACTCTTGATGAAGATCAGGAAGGTTTTATTGGAGGGAGATCAACAACGCGATATCTTTTCAGAATGCTGGCTAACCTTGAGGAAGTTAAACGACAGAAGCTGGTGCTTTTCCTTGACTTCGAAAAGGCATTTGACAGTGTTCATCTTCCATCACTATGTGTCAAACTATCAACTCTCGGTATTCAAGGAAATATTCTTAACGTGCTGAGAAGTTTCCTGTTCAACCGGACGATATGTCTAAAAGTGAACAACTATAAAGGAGAAAAAAGAAAATGCACAATATTTGGACTACCTCAGGGGGCTGTACTCTCACCTCTCCTCTTTATCCTATACATAGCAGACATGACGCACAACACCCCGGAAGAGGTAAAAAGATATCTAAGCTGCTACAAATTTGCTGATGATGGTACACTTATGATTTCCTTTGAGAACATCTCCGAATGCCATGAAAAAATGCAGATGGTATGTGACCACCTTAGCAAGTGGTGCATCAAGAACAAGCTAGTAGTGAACTGTGATACAAATAAAACAGAGGCAATAATCTTGAAAACTGCAGCCTATAATGAAGAACAGAAACCTGCAGAATTATGTATTAATGGGAAAAGCATCAACTACGTCAAAAGTACGAAGGTCCTTGGGGTAATAGTAGATGAGGACCTCAATTTCAAGAAACATGCGTCTCAAAAACTTAAAGAATGCAAAAGAAAGTGGGGATTAATAACAAAATCAACTAACCGCAACTATGGTCTAAACGTTTACAGCCTCACTCTCCTCCTTAAGACAATGGTCCTCACTAAACTGTTCTACGCAGCACCTATTTGGCTTCACAAGTGTCTCAATCAATTTAAAAGCTTCTGGAATAAAATAATTCTAAAAATATCTGGATCAGTCCTGAACCCACAAAGGGAATTAACCGAACTTGCTCTCCACCTACC